GGAGAAAAAGCACAGTGAATGTACCTTTTCCTTTTTTGAAGTACATATAACACTCGGATTTAAATCCGAGGTTTTCGCATTTATTTCTTGCAAAATTTTGCTGCTAGTCCCCTAGGTGACCAGTTTTTCGAAGAAAAAAAACTTTCATAAAACATACGCGATCCTATGTGATTTTGACGCTAATTTGGAATACGGTATTTATTTTGATTTAGAATTGTGTCATCGCAATGAAAATCGCTAAAAATATGTTTTGAACTGAGTGAAAGTGGCCTCTTTTAGTCTTTTTAAGCGGTATATTTCAGCGCATTACAAAAGTTCTATTAGGAAATGCCCAAGACTAGTATCAGTTTGTAGAACTTTTTGAACTCGATCGAATGATATAAAATTCAAAGTGTTGTCGGTTGATAATAGCAAAGCTAGAAATCGTGAACTATCAGCGGGATCACTAGAACTTTCAACAACAGAGTCAAAGTTGTCAATAAAAAAACACTTAAATGAAGCAAAATCTGACTGATTCTTTAATGAATCGCTACAGTTTTTAAAGCTCTTTGGAATGATATATAAACAATTTCAAATCGTCAAATAAAAAGAAATTGTATTCTACGAACACCGTCTGAACAGAAACTATATAAATATCGGAGTGTGATATGACCTAAAGTGGTATAGAATGATAGAAAAAACTTTCCTTATTTCATTAGAATGATCATAAAAACACTAAATCTATGTGTTTACATGGTTTTAGATACGTTTTAGTTGAATATTAATATTGGACCGATTTACGTTCTTATACGCCCTCGTCCTGTATAGAATGAACACCACATGGTACGGTATATATAAAATTGTTCTATTTAAATATTTATTTAAACATGCTTGAACATCTTGATTCTTTTCAGACATATTAGGAGCATTATCATAGGACTGAACTATGATTTTATCTGTTGAAATACCGTATTTCTTGATCTCATCTAACAGATACTTACAAATATCTTCACCTACCTTGGAATTTAACTCCATAACGGATATCATTCGTTCTTGATCAATGAAGTCTTTCACAAACCGAATTACAGTGGTATATATTTCTTTGTTAGAAATATCAGTAATAGAATCAATGGTTACAGAAATAAATTGCGCTTCATGTATATCTTTCAATATTCCTTGATGAACGGATGTACCTAAGAATTCAGTAAGTTCGTTATGTGAATCATGACGAAGATGAATTACCTAGAAATAAAACAAAAATCTTTCACTGACTGAAAGCCATAAAATATTGTGCTATTCTTTCATGACATGGACGTAAACTGGAATGTTTAAACCATTGATCAAGTACAGGATCACGACGACGCAATAGCTCGATGGTGGCAACAAAACTTCCTAGAATAAAATTACTTTTGGTTATATAAAATCTAGTTCTACTTAGTTATCTTTCATTCATGTACCTTCAGAATTTCCATCTCCTTGAAACGACAATGATTGTCGTGCAAGAAATCTTGCAACATCAAGCAACGTGATCACGATTTTTTCATTCAATTTTAAGAGTTGTTCTCGTTTTTTATCAACGTCTCTTTGACCAGCAATTAGCATTAAACCAATAATTAGTTTGTTTTAGAAAAATTTAGTCAAGGATTCTCAGCACTCGTATGTGTCATGAATTTAAAACGGTTAACCGTCTTCCCAGTGGAAACTAAAATGAAAACGAAAGAGTGTTGATATGAAACTGTTCCTTAGGAATTGTCCCAAATACCTGTCATCTTTGACCACGACGAAACGTCTTTTAATGTCCATGCCTCTTGAAATTTTTCAGATCCAGGACCAGCATCAAATAAACGACAAGAAAAACAAAACGCAGCATCTTGTTTTAACAGTGTACTCCAAATAAGGAAAGTCCTTATACCGACTAAAAGAGAACGAGCATTGCTTACCTTTCTTTTTTAATTGAAGGTTTTGAGGATAGGATCAGAGAAATTCGTGATTTGAGCCATAGGTAACTAGATAACGTAACTCATCATCACTGTACTTTCTGCTATCAGATGGGTCTCTGCTGATTAATCCACTTTTGTTCTGATTAAAATTATATCACCTCGATTTGCTTTAGTACTTGATATCAGCTGTAAATACTTTGTTTCGAGTTTCGTTGACATGTTCTTTAATAAACTACATAACAAATGTGTTTCGAAAATAAATGATTCTTCTGCAAAATCAGATGCATGTGATTGTTTAATTAAAGATTCACAGTTCGAAAGAAGCGATTGAAACTTTATTGAATCCAAAGCAACATTGTTCACAGAATAGATTTCTTGACTACCATTTAAATCTTTCTTCCATAGAGTGACGTGATGTTTCATCTTCTGACGATGTTGATGTTGAAACTTGATAAAAAAGAAATATTTTTTTGTAAAAAGTTGCTGTACGCTTTTTCTTGAAAGTTACCTTCAGAAGATGCCGGTGTAGCATTAGTTACGATTGAAATGATGTTTGAATATGTTGAATTTGCTTCGTCTGTGATAATCGATAACTGAGATGGAGTAATATCGTTGTTTTGCACAACTGCATTTTCAACGAAATCTGGTGCATCCCTTTTCTTTTTTAACCAATTCAATAGGAAGTTGATGTTCAGGTGCTTCCTTTTCTCAGAGATTTTTTCTAAAAGTAATTTATTTTACAATATCAACAATTTAATGAATAGAATCACTA